TTAAGGGTACTATAGGGTTCTTTAATGGGGTTCCTTACAGGGATCTATAAGGGTTCTAGAATGGGGATCATGGGACTTAGTAAGCGTGGTCAGAAGTACCTTAATCGGGGATATAAGTAAGTATAAGTATAGTTGCCCCAATCATAACCCTAGTTACTAGGTCCCATGACCCCTTAAGTACGCCCATCTGACGTTGCTCTTTTTTGCGAAGCCTTTGGGTTCATAAATCCTTTTTTGGATGCATACTATACCAACATTCGAACTGAAACCCTAAACGCCTCAAAAACAAAAAAAACAAGAACAGAAAACCTAAAGCCCCTAGAACCCAAAGCCCAAAGCCCCTAAAGCCCCTAAAGCCCCTAAAGCCCCTAAAGCCCCTAAAGCCCCTAAAGCCCCTAAAGCCCCAAAAAGCCCCAAAACCCTGACTCCGAAGCCACGCCCAGGCACCATGACCCCTTCCCATAAAAGGAAGCCCAGGGTCTCCAAGCGCCCGGATCTCAAGGAGGGGAAGTTGAGGATCCTAGGCTCTTCTGAAGGTCAAAGGGGTAAAAGGAGGGACCCTTCATATAGGGTTTAGGGTTTTAGGGCTTTAGGGGTTTAGGGGTTTAAGGGGTTTAGGGTTTAGGGGTTTAGGGTTTTGGGTTTTTCTTTTAGGGGTTTAGGGTTTAGGGGTTTAGGGTTTAGGGGTTTAGGGTTTAGGGTTTACGGACCCCTGGGTATAGAACCTTAATATAGCTATGATATACCCAGTATATAGCCCATTTTTAGGGTAGGGGTCCCCATTAAGGGTCCCTGCCTTTCCCCTTTGAGAAGCGGGTCTGGTGCTTTTTTCGTGTGGGGGTATAGGGGTTCAGGGTTTAGGCGTTTCAGGGTCTGCGGTTTGGGCATCAGGGCTTGGGGCTTCGAGGGTCAGGGCTTCTGCCTCTCTTTGGGGTCTGGTGCATCTTTTCGTGTGGTGGTATAAGGGTTCAGGGTGTAGGGTTTAGGCGCGCTTTCGAAGGGGGTCTGGTGCCTTTTTTCCGGTGGTGGGGGGCTTAGCGGTGTAGGGGTCGAGGGCTTCGGGGTTTTAGGGGTTTAGGGTCTAGGAGGTTTAAGTTTAGGGCCTTTAGGGGTTCAGTGGTTTAGGGACGGAGTTTGGGGGTTTACGGCTTCGGGTGTAAGCTTCAGGGCTACCTCAAGTTCTCCTAGCAAGGATACATTTTAATTCAATGCACATAGGCGTAAGTACGATGGCTCCATGAAGCGACTGGAAAGATTTCAGGCTCCTTACGACTTGAACCCTAAAGCCCTAAGAGTCTAAACCCAAAGACCCTAAACCCAAACTAAGAAGAGCAGAGCGTCGGAGGATACTTTAGCGTTAAGGGTTCAGAGTTTAGGGTTTAGGGTTGAGGGTTTTTATTTGAGCTCCCTTTTATGACTGCCCAGGGTCGACGGTTTAGGGCTTAAGGGTTAAAACGGAGGGTTTTTGTTTTAGCTCCCTTATGTGACTGCCCAGGGTCGAAGGTTTAGGATTTAAAGTTAAGACAAGCTCAGCGTCAGAGGATACTTTAGGGTTTAGGGTTCAGAGTTTAGGGTTTAGGGGTTAGGGTTTAGGGTTGAGGTTTTTTTGAGCTCCCTTTTATGACTGCGCAGGGTCGAGGGTTTAGGGTTTAAGGGGAGACACGAGCTCAGCATCGGAGGATACTTTAGGGTTTAGGGCAAAGAGATCAGGGTTTAGGGGTTGGGGTTTACGGGTTTAGGGTTTTTTGGAGCTCCCTTTTGTGACTGCCCAGGGTTGAGGGTTTAGGGTTTAAATTTAAGACGAGCTCAGCGTCAGAGGATACTTTAGGGTTTAGGGTTTAGGGTTTAGAGTTTAGGGTTTAGAGTTTGGGGTTTAGAGTTTAGGGTTGAGGGTTTAGGGTTGAGGGTTTAGGGTTGAGGGTTTAGGGTTTAGGGGTTAAAACGAGCTCAGTGTCGGAGGATACCTCCCTGCATTCAACTCATGGCCATCCTCGGGAAGCCCTGGGTTCGATGCGTTGGTCTTGGCAGCTCCGAAAGGCAGCTCCTGTATTTAGAAACTAGAAGGGTGCAAAAAATGTTAGGGGCCTTGATACATAATTAGAATAGGGGTCCTAATAAAGAGGTCTATAAGGGTTACTAGAAGGGTACCAAAAAAATGTTAGGGGCCTTAATTATTAGAATAGGGCTCCTTTAAGGCGTCTATAAGGGTTACTAGCAGGGCATTATGTTGTTAGGGGCCTTCATAATTAGAATAGGTTTTTTGGGTATATTATTTTGTAACTATAACAAGGAAACCCCAAAATAGTCTAGGTAACTATTCTGCAGCTCCTGAATGAAGACCACCGCGCAGCTCTGGGTGTAAGTCTTCAGGGAAGTGTGAAATAAGACATCGTGCGAATGCGATCGGACTGCCCAAGAAATGTTGATGCAATCGAAGGTACCCAGGTGGTCTTTTCCCTTGTACCGACCTACGGCCCTTCGCCACGTCGATGGGGATGTATGCCAAGCCCCATCTGCAAACAGTCGCAGAGGCGAGCTTTCTAGCCACGTGGTTCCAGCCAGTCGAACAGCGAACGAGGCATCGTCCTGCAGGAAAGGGCACTACATAAAACAGCTAGAAGGAAAAAATCCTACAATCATTGTACACTGTACATGCTTGAGCTTCATGGCTGCACCTTGCCTTCAGTGAAACATCAAGGGCACAGGTGGCTTCATGTTCCAGAGCAGAAGGAATGAAAACCTGCAGCAACACCAAGACGAAGGGACGCAGGTCCATCGCTCGGTGCACGCGAGCAGGCTGCTGAGGCTGTGAAAATGGTTCAGGGCTTGCGGTTATGGTTGAGGTTTAAAGGTTTTGGAGTCTAGGTTGAGGCTTTAGGATTACCTGTTGCTCAACAACAGCACCTGAAAACCTCTGCCTAACGCCACTTCTACAAGAGGTTCTCGTCACTTGACCATATCGCATCGGGTTGACTACAACTACGTGACAAGCCCGCAGGCTCGAGATGCGAAAGACAAGCGATGCGACATGATCGGACTGTAGATTCTGTTTTCCACGCACACATACACAACATGTTTGCGCATATGTATGTACAAACACACGCACGCACAAGCATCTTTTTATGCATGTATGTTGTATGGATGCTTTCATTCATCGTGGTTTTTTGTGCAGGAATGCATGATAAATTCTGCGCAGGCATGTGTGCATATGTTTCTGCATACTTGCATGTCCCTGCATAGAGTGTACATATGCATGGATGCATGGATGGATGGATGGATGGATGGATGGATGGATGGATGGATGGATGGATGGATGCAGGCAGGTATGTTTGCATCGATGTACATACGTCCTTGTATATATGCATATACCTGTATGTATAAGTATGCATGCATGTATGTATGCAGGTATGTATGTATGCACGCACGAATGTATCTACAACTTCAGATCTGGATTTCGGTTTGAAGTTTCGGGGCTATGGCTTGGGTGTGCGTGAGCATTCTCGCTACAAGGAGCCCGGTGGATCTTTCTGAGATTGCTAAACTTTAGGGTTTAGGGTTTAGGGTTTGAGTCTGGGACGCCGTGGCGGGATCACCAAAACTCATCCCAAATACGACTCTCGCAAACGCACACCGCCCTCACGTCCTATTCTGTAGGGTTTGGGGTTTAGGGTACTGCTCTTCAGACCTAAGACATTGGCTGTCGAGCTTCCGATTTCCGTGCGTACTAGGCAGGAACACCCCGCTCTTTTGCCTGCTGCTCCCTCGCTGTCTTCGTCCGCAACAACTCAAAGGCATCTTCTGCCCACTACTTCACTCAGGAAAACTGCTATCTGCAACCTTGGCTTGGAAGGCCAGGCCGATTCCCTAAAGTCGCGAACACTAGACGGCCCTACTCCCGAAAGCCCTACAGACCTGTAGGCTGCGATCACCCTAAGCCCTCTTTGGGGTTTTCGGGCTTAGACTTTTGCAGGCCCAAGCTTCGTTCCAGAGATGCGGTGGTTGCAAGCAAGGCTTGTGGTACGGTTGATGATATAAATCCTGCATTACTTCAAGGACCCTAAACTATGGAAATTATAGCATACTCCCTATTCTGGGTAATGCAGGATTTATATCATCAACCGTAGGACTGGCTCTGAAACCCTAAACCTCAAATCCTAAACCCTGAACTACCCCAAACCCCAAACAAACCGCACCCTCTGAGGGCCCGATACTCATGGACCCTTTCCCGCTTAGGTCTAGGGTGTTGCTTTAGGGTTTAGGGTCTTGGGATTATGGGGCCTGTCGGCGCAGGGCAATCAATCACCGACTAGCTGCGCTAGAAGGCGAACCCGACTCCGACATATGGGAGTTTCCGAAAATTAGGGGTGCCTTATTTGGGGGTCCTTATAATAAGGATCCCATTATTTAAGGTACTATATTACGGTCCCTTATTTTCACCTCCAAAACCTGAAGCATCCCAGGCTTCCTCTGCAAAAAACCCTAGATGCTCTAAAACTCCCCCTAAACCCTAAACCCCAAAGCCCCTACGACCTCAGATCTCGGAAGTCTGGGGGCTGGCCATTAGGGCTCGGAACTTGAGGGTGTCAGAGCAGTTGTTGGGCGTGGGACATGAGGGTTTCTGCATTTTTCGGCATCAGGGCTTCGGGTTGATGGGTTGTGCCCTGGATTTAGGGCGTAGATTTAGGTTCCGAAATCTTGGGTTTGTGGCCTTCCCGCTTTACATAAGAAGCCCGAAACCCCAAACCCGCCCTACGAAATCTGACTCTACACCCTGAAACCCCTCAACCCCGAAACCGAAGCAAATCTATTCAACTCCAAAGGTAAGCCCATCCGGCTCAAGTTCAACCGAGAAATCCCGAAAGCCCTACGTTAAATCGCAACTCTAACCCCAAAACCTAAACCGCAAACCGAAAATCTAAACCCTAAACTCTAACCTCTAGATTCTCAGCCCTAGACCGCAAGCTCTGAACCAAAAATACTGAGTCCCTTGGGGCCCGGCCCTACGTCCATGCGATGATCTTTCGCTTCTGGACCAACTCTCCGCGCAGGTCTGCCGTGCCTGCCGGCAGTACTGAACTGTAACTTCTGAATTACAACTATAAGGGCTTAGGGTTACTCCAAGGGCTCTAAACGGGTTGCCGTAATTTGGGCGGTGGGGGGGGGCGGGGGAAAGAGGTTTGGGGTTTCAGTGTTTGGTGCTTTCGGCCCGCTGCTTGCTATCTCAGGGCTGAGTGCCTACTTAATGAGAACAGGGTTTTGGAGCCCAATATACTATCATTCTACTAAGGAACGCATTCTCTAAGCCCACATATTACGGATTTTGCCGCTTCTGCTGCAAGCAAAACGAAATAGCTTTGGGGTCGCGGCTTTGAACTTTACGTCTTAGAACCCGAACCCTCAATCCCAAATCCCAAACCTTACTCAAAACCAGCCCCCTAAACCCTAAAACGTAAACCCGAAGCCTTTACGGCTTAGAACCCGCACCCTCCACCTCAAATCCCAAACCTTACTCAAGACCAGCCAACTTGCGAAGTCAAAGCTCCTGCAAGGCCCCAGCTAACTGGCCTTCCTTCGCGAGCCACACCTGAGATGCTCGAGGCTTTCAGGTGACATGTTGCGGCCCAAGGTTCAGGATGTAAGGCTGTTCGCTTGACATTTAAACGGGTGAGGGGCGCTCATTCTTAGAATAGGTTTTGTGGTAAATTACAGTCAGAATAAGACATCAACAACCGGGTACGCTAAACCGAAAACCATAAACATCTATCCGGGTGACTGGGGAAATACCAGCGATCGATTTTGAGCCCTAAACCCGAATGAACCATGCACGCCTCAGCACCCCTGCTGGCAGGCTCATAGGTAGTTCTGAGTGGGGTTGTAAGTCTCCTGATAGAAGCTATATCTATAACTATAGTAATCCTACTTCGAAGCCTCACTTATAAACTAACCATGAACCTGCTCTTATAGAACCCTTATAGAGCCCATATAGATCCCTTAACGGAACCTTATAAGCCCTGCTTAAAACCACCCATGGACCCCTCATGAACTGTCAATGTCCAGGCGCCACATCCGTGGCGGCTTCGGCCGGACTCTGCGCGTGGGACCTAGTCTGAGCCGAAGTAATTAGAATAGGGTTCCTTTTAAAGGGATCCATGAAAGTTACTATAAGGGATCTACAAGAGTACTATCATATAGTGGCCTTAGAAATTAGAATATGTTCTTGGGACCCGTTACACTTTCTGTGTATTCAGGAACCCCCAAAATGGCATAGGTAGTTATTAAGGCCCCTATAGTAGGGTTCGAACTATTTTGGGTTTAGGGTTTAGGGTTTGTCTAAGTAGGGGGTTGAAGCTTTTGGGTTTTAGGATTTCCGGTTTAAGGGGCCTAGGGTTTTAGGGTTTAGGGTTTAGGGTTTGGGTTTTTGGGTCTTGGCTTTTGGACTTTGGGTTCTGGGGCGTAGAGGGCTCGTCTTAAGACTTCCCTGTTGGAAACAGCTCCACTGGCGGGGAGCATCTTGCCACCCAACATAACCCTGGCCAACCTCCGACATGCCAAGTGGCAAAGAAGCCAGTAGCTGAGGCGTAGGGCTTGGGGCTTAGAGTTCGGGGTTCAGGGTTTAGAGTTTATCATTTATGGTTTCTGCCTAACGATTTAGAACTTAATTTCCAACTCCAGCCTAAACCCTAAACCCTTGGGATTCAGAGCTCGGAACGGTTCAGGGCTCGGAACCAAGAGTGCCACCTGCCCACCTTGGGCCCAGGCATGTCTTTGAACCACGGCCGGGACGCAGCGGTATCCACAAGCCCGGGGCAGCACGCTCCGACGAAGAGGTGGCTAAAGGCCTTTTCAGCTTCGGAGGGCCTTGGGTGTAGGGCAGACTTCGGGTTAAGGCCGGAAGGTTTGAGATCTAGGGTTTAGAGTTCTTTTGTTAAGGCCTTCTTGGCGTGCGCCCAAGAGTTTAGGGTTTAGGATCTTCTTTTGAAAGCTCCTCTCTGTCGGCTGAACATTTTCAGTAGTTCAAGCGAGCCCCTCAGTTGTGGCATTGCGGTGTTGAGGGATGGTGCCTTGTTTGACCGGTTTCCCGAAGATATGCGCAACATGTCTACAGCCGTAGCCCAAAGACAACCCCGTGGACAACAGAAGCCTAAACCCTAAACCCTAAACCCTACAAGCTTCAATTTCCAAGGAGTCAAGAAGCTGGAGCAATAACCATCTAAATGGCTTTGGGGAGCAATGATCGTTGTCATAATTTCAAGTGGACTTATCTGGTGAAATCAGAAAGATCAGAGGGTAATAAGAAAGCGCACAAGCCCTTCATCCCGAAAGCCCTTGTCAAATCATTGTCCCAACATATTCAGAACTACCGTGAACTGTTGGCCCTGAACTTGAAGAGGAAACCTCTCGCAAAGATATCTTCGAATTCCGAAACAGATTGAAGCTAAACTAACTCGAAATCCTACCCCCCCCCCTTCCCCCCAACTACCCAAGTGGCGGCTGCTGCCACTTTCACTGCGGCAACCTGGCCGACCTTTTTGGCGGGGTAAAGGGGTACTTCGGGGCTAGGCAGGTTTTGACTTAGGTTTTAAAGTAAAGAGTGGGATTCGCAAATACGGATTTTGCGAAAGTAGGGCTAGCCCGAAGATTTCATGATATGGATTCAAGGCCTGACATTTTGGCGTAGGGCAGCAGATTTCTGGGCTACTATAGGGGCCTCAGTAATTAGCAATGTTGGTGGTTCCTTATTGTATTTACAGTATAACGGGCCCCAAAACCCTATTCCAATTATTAAGGCCCCTGTATTCCTAAACTGTGGGAGTTCCAGTCTAGCTTCAAAGGCTCTGCCTCTGAGCCCCGAACCCTCCTCGGGCCGAGGAGTTTTAGTGTAGGGTTTGGGGCGTTGGGTCTGAGAGCTTTCGACTTTGAAGTGTTTAGGGTTTAGCAACTTTACTTGCAGGGGGAGTTAGTAAGTAGGTTATAAGAAGAGTTATAAGTACCCTAAATGGAGTTACCCCAGTTATAACCCTACTTATAACCTACTTACTAAGTCTCCTGCCCCTCCAAGTAGCCTTCTTGAAGACTAAGGTTCTGTTGCCGCTCATTACCTCGAGATTTTCAGGCCTGAAACCATTGGGCAAAAAAAGCGTTGCTGCATATTTGCCGGATAATTTCTGGAGGGGCAAAAGGTTTCTGACATAGCTAGCATATGTTTATACTTTGTTTGTTGTGTGTATATATATAATTATCTTACTATATTCGTATGTATTTCCAAAAATATAATATATATATATATATATATATCATATATATATACACCATATATACCATATATATCTATATATATATATATACACACACCACACACGTCAGACAACTCCCCAGCCTTCGACGGGATGTTCACCCAGTCAGGCCAGCCTTCCTGCAAAAGTCTTGAAATAAGTGGTTCGTGTTTGTTTAACTTTTGTTAAAAGCCGTTTACGGGTTATGGTTTTTATGGTTTAAGGGTTTAGGATTAAGCGTTTAGGGTTTTGGGCTTAGGGTTAAGGGTCTACGAACCTGGAGTCTGGAGTTTAGGGCTGAGGGGCCCTTTTCCAGCTGTGCAAGGCTACGGTTTAGGATTTTTTTTGAACGCCTTTTTCCGCCCGCCCACCAGGTTGCTTGGAATCCACAGTTGTGGAAGGCTTCCCACCCTCTCAGCAAAGAAACATCACCAGCACGCCGATCAAGCCCCATTTCCAGGACATTCCTGGTCTTCCCTTGCTCGATCCCCGAAGCTTGCTACGTCCCCTTCGCCCACTGGTACGTCCTGTTCTGGTTCCACCTCCACCTCGTCCCAATCGACCAAGCCCGGGTACGCTGTTTGACATGCACGTTGACCCTCTGCTGTCCAGAGCTGGAACATCTGCAGCCGCTGAACGCCGTATATCTCCACCACGGTGCTGTCCGCGATTGCTTGGGCTTGCCAACGTTGAAGTACTGCTTTCATTCACTTGCGCCTGCGCATCAGACATCCGGCGCATAGCTGGCAACGGTTTAGGGGTTTAAGGTTTTTTATAGGGTTTGGGGATTTAGATGTAGGGTTTAGGGTTTCGAGTCTAAGGTTTTGGGTACTTGATGTGCCCGGGCTGCAGGATTTCAGGGTGTACGGTTTGGGCTGGCCCGTCGTGGTTACCGGGTTAGGGTTCTGTCAGCAAGACCGATTGACACTACATGTATGCCTACGGAAACGTGTAGAAGTATGTCTCTATCTACCCATGCATTAGCGTGTGTGTGTGTGTGTGTGTGGACACACACACACATATATATATATATATGTATATCTGTTTATTTATCTACATACACAAACAGATAGACAGACAGACAGACAGAGATAGGTAAGCAGGTAGATTGGTTGATTGATTGACTGCTTGTTCTAAGATATCATGTATACTGCTTCTACAAACCTGCTGTATGTAACAGTGTCTATGTTCACAGGCATAAGAACACACCAACAAACAGATAACAAACAAAAACCATGCCTGAGTGCCTGCCTGTCTGCCTACCTACCTACCTAGCCACCTACCTACCTACCCACCCCTGCCCCACCTGCCTATCTACCTGCCTACCTACTTACCTACTTGCCTACTTACTTGCTTACACATCGTTCTGGCACAGTGTCAGGTGCGATTTGTGGGTTCGATCATCAGGCCCCCATTTGGACCTTTGAGGTATTCAAACTCTCGTGCCTCTTGGGAAGGGGATTTCCGGTTTGGGGCTTCGGGAATGGAACAGAATAGTATTTTGGTGTATGTTATCGCATGAATATACTAAGGAACCCAAGAAATGCTGCTGCTAATTATTCCGACCCTACATTAGGAGGGTTTTGGGCTCCTTTTGCCCGCCCTCCACTTCGTCAGACAAGGAAAAGCTATACTAAACCCTTAACCCTAACCCCCAAGCCCTAAACCCTAAACCCTAAACCGGCTTCGGTGTCGGTGTCGGGGGTCTGGGGGGCCTTCCGTCTTCAGCTTAGGGTTCCGGGCCAGGGCTTTAAAGTTTAAGCGTGCCGGGTGTAGGGTCGCTTGCATTGAGGGTTGGTTTAGAAGTTAATTGTTAGCTGCACACCTACAGAAAAATCTCAAAGATGCCGTCTCTTCAGAATACGGAATCCTAATCCCAGTTTCAGGTGCACCGTGCCACCCAATCATCAGACCATCCTCCTCATTACATTCATCATCACCATCATCATCACACCGTCGAAATCAACACTCAGAGATCACAGTCGCGCATGAACACTAGTTCGAGAACAATAACAACAGGAGGACCTGGCTAGATTGTGCATGTGACAAAGGGTGCCAATACTATTTGGGGGGTTCGCTATTATAATTATAGTATTATATACCCCAAAACCCTGTTCTAATTTTTATTTTAAGGCCCCTAACCCTTATAGACCCCATTAAAGGGACTCTATTTTAATTATTAAGGCCCCTAACAGTTTTTGTACCCTTCTAGTAACCGTTATAGACCCCTTTGAAGGGACCCTATTCTAATTACTAAGGCCCCTAACATGTTTTGTACCCTTCTCGTAACCCTTACAGACCTCTTTAAAGGGACCCTATTCTAATTAACAGGGCCCCTAACATGTTTTGTACCCTTCTAGTAACCCTTATAGACCCCTTTAACGGGACCCTATTCTAACTATTAAGGCCCCTAGCATTTTTTGTACCCTTCTAGTAACCCTTACAGACCCCTGTAAAGGGTCCCCGTCCTCGGCCGCCTTGCCATCCTCAACTGCAGCCACATACCTCGCAAGACGCGACACCCGAAAGCTTCGCAGCAGTTGGTTTAGGGTTTAGGGGTTTAAGGTTCAGGGTTTAGAGGTTTAAGGGTTTTGGGTTTAGGGGTTTTGGGTTTAGGGGTTTAAGGGTTTAGGGTTTAGGGTTTAAGGGCTTAAGGGTTTAAGGGTTTTGGGTTTAGGGGTTTTGGGTTTAGGGGTTTAAGGGTTTAGGGTTTAGGGTTTAAGGGCTTAGGGGTTTAGGGTTTAGGACTCCCAGACCGAAACCCCAAAAATCCCATATCCAAAACCCGAAAGAAAGCGAGATCCACCCTTCGATCTCCCACAATCGTGCATGAAGGCTTTGGTCTTGAGCTTCAAACCCTAAACCCTAAACCCTAAACCCTTTCAGGCTTTGGGAGAAGGTCGAAGTCAAGCACAACTGAAGGAAAACGCACAGAGAGGCTTTCATACAACAAAGGATCTGAAACCAAAGACAAGATTACATAAACTGTCGGGAAAACAAGGGCTACAATTGTTCCGACCATGGTTAGCCAGCAGTAGTGACAGGAAGAACAGCAGCGGCACTTGAAGTAGTCGCAGAAGTAATAGCACTAGCACTAGCACTGGCACTGCACCGGCACCAGCATAGCAGTAGCAGTAGCTGCACTAGCAGCAGCAGTAGCAGCGGCAGTAGCAGCAGTAGCAGCAGTAGCAGCAGTAGCAGCAGTAGCAGCAGTAGCAGCAGTAGCAGCAGTAGCAGCAGTAGCAGCAGTAGTAGCAGTAGTAGCAGTTTGTAGTAGCAGCAGGTAGCAGTAGTAGCAGCAGGAGCAGAAGCAGCAGCAGCAGAAGTAGCAGTAGTAGCGCAAGTAGCGGCACTAACAGTAGTAGTAGCGTCGTCGTCGTGGCAGTAGCAGCAGCAGCGGAGCAGCAGCAGCAGCAGCAGCAGCCTGTTGCTGTTGATGTAGCAGTAGCTGCAGTAGTCGCTGTCTTCGTCGTCATGTCAGCACCAGCAAACAGTGATCGAACTGAAAAGCATGAAGAAGGGAGCAGAAGCACTTACACAGCACCAGCAGCGGCTGAGAAACAGGGACAATTAAGGGGAGCCACCGCGGCACAGCAATGGGAGAAGTCGCAAAAAGCCTCATTACAAGACAATGAATACAGAAGCAACAAGAGCACTTGCAGCCAGTTCTCTCCAGCATCACCTTGTCCAGGTCCTCCAGAGTCGAGCTTTGGACATCGAACTTCGCGTGCAGGTTCCTTAGGTTTTGGTCGTGAGGTCTTTCGCAGCCAGCGACTGGAGAGGATCCTCACAGACTGAGATCACACAACAAGCCTGCTTGTGTGCCCACCATCAGCTGAAGACGGCGGCGGGCTTCGACATCTTGCTGTTAAGACTTTCTGGTTCTTGGGAGGGAATGGGGGAATGGGTTATGGGGACTACAATTGGGGACTACTCTAAGGATCCATTCCCTCATTCCCTACTAAGAACCACAGAAGCAGACAGGAAATTTCAATCCACGCGGCTCAGGCAGCTTCGTAAGAGTGCCGAAACCACTGGCAACCACCAGTAAGCGTCCTGGCCCCAGGCTTCAGCGATGTTAGAAGCTTACAGGTAAGGTAGGAACCTGATTGAGAAGCCCTGGCCTCAAAACCCCAAAATGGTAGGATTCATATAAGGAGCCCTGATAAAGGCCCAAGGTTTCTTAATCAGGTTCCTACATTAGGATTCTACAGTCTGGGCTGAAGGTGTAAGCGCCCTCGCGATCAAGGCTTGGGGCGTCCAAGAAGTTCAGGCACCACTGTAAGGTTTAAGCTTGCCTTTTATCCCGCAATTTCGCGTTGTATGCTAGGTTCCGGACTTCCTTTCCAAAATTCCCGTAGAGGGAGCGAGGACAGGGCTAGCACAGGCGCCTTGATAGTTAGAACAGGGTTTTGGGCCTTTGGTGTACAATGTGGTCTACTAAATCCGGGACTGTGAGAAGATCTTACTGCACGCCTGCTGGCCGCATCACCGGCAGGAAGCTTCGCAGCATTGCGGTTGTTCCCAGGTTGTTGGTGGTGACGAAGTCCTGAAGGCAACGAGGCTGATCTTCGAGGTGCCTGAAAAGCTTACACTGTCCTCCTTCTTAAGAAGACAACATACCAGGATGTCACCTTCACTTCAGGAAGGTCGAGAAGGGAGCAGGCAAGTTTTGGGAACCTTTAGCCGACTGAGCGCTTTGTGCCCAGTACGACGTCTGCAAGTTTTGTGAAACTACCACGACAAAGACAACAACTGAAAGCGCCACAACTCGAACTTTGACGATGGCGGCGACTACACTGTAACGACGAAGACGACCTCTACTGCTACTGCTGCTGCTATTACAACCACTGTGACTACGACTTCGACTATGACTTCGGCGACGCCTGATAGAACCAAAAAGCAACGGTTAGTGAGAAGGGTAGCAGTAGTAGTAGTAGTAGTAGTAGTAGTAGTAGTAGTAGTAGCAGTAGCAGTAGCAGTAGTAGTTGTAGTAGTTGTACTACTACTACTACTACTACTACTACTACTACTGCTACTACTACTACTACTAGTCGTAGTAGTGGTAGTGGTAGTGGTAGTGGTAGTGGTAGTGGTAGTGGTAGCGGTAGTGGTAGTGGTAGTGGTAGTGGTAGTGGTAGTGGTAGTGGTAGTGGTAGTGGTAGTGGTAGTGGTAGTGGTAGTGGTAGTAGTAGTAGTAGTAGTAGTAGTAGTAGTAGTAGTATAATAATATTAATAATAATAGCAGCAGCAGCAGTCGAAGCAGTAGCTGCAGTAGCTGCAGTAGCAGCAGTAGAAGTAGCAGCAACAGCAGCAGCAGCAGCAGTAGCAGCAGCAGCAGTGGCAGTAGCAGTAGAAGTAGTAGTTAGGAGCAGGCTACCACTACCACAACAATAACAACAACTACTTCTACTGCTACTGGTATTGGTACTGCTACTCCTACTACTACTACTACTACTACTACTACTACTGCTACTACTGCTACTACTGCTACTACTACTACTACTACTACTACTACTACTCCTGCTGCTGCTTCTACAGGTGCTACCGCTGCTGCTTCAACTCTCTTCGTCTTTGTCTTGTAGTTGAACTGTTGCTATGTGCTACTATTACAACTCCAGCGGCCAAAGCTCCTACGGTCCGACCATACGGCCTGCTACAACAAGTACACCAACAGCAAATGCACCCAATGCTGCAGACACAGGCCCTGAACAGAGGAGTCTTCAGTAGCCCTAAACCCTAAACCCTAAACCCTAAAGCCTAAACCCTAAACCGCTGATCTCCCGCACGTACTCTGGCGGCGTCTTTTCCGGCGTCATGCGTGCAGCTGCGTTGTGGATGACCAGATCTGCTCCACCGTGACGTTCCTTTCCACAGCTCCAGGTCAAGGGTAGTGAAGGTTAACAGTGAGACAGCAAGCAACGATCCTAAAGCGAGAACCTCACAGCCTAGTCTCAGACCATGACTACGTGGAGGATCATGGGACCTTAGGAACTAATTAGGGTTAAGTATTCTTAAGGCAACTATACCTATAGTTACTTATAACCCCAATAAAGGTACTTATGTAGTAGTAGTAGTAGTAGTAGTAGTAGTAGTAGTAGTAGTAGTAGTAGTAGTAGTGTGGTAGTAGTAGTAGTAGTAGTAATAGTAGTAGTAGCAGTAGTAGTAGTAGTAGTAGTAGTAGTAGTAGAAGTAGAAGTAGAAGTAGAAGTAGAAGTAGAAATAGAAGTAGAAGTAGAAGTCGAAGTAGAAGTAGAAGTAGAAGTGGAAGTGGAAGTGGAAGTGGAAGTGGAAGTGGAAGTGGAAGTAGAGGCAGAAGTGGAAGTAAAAGAAGCAGCAGCAGCAGTGATAATAGTGGTGGTAAGAACTAGCCATGGTCAGGCGAGTCGCAACAACTGCAACAAAAAGATGCCAACCACAACAGGATCAATAAAAATGACTGAGCAAAAGCGTAGCAGTAGCAGCAGCAGGAGCCGAAGTATAGTAGCCTTGCGGCAGTAGTAGTAGTAGTAGTAGTAGCAGCAGCAGCAGCAGCAGCAGGGGTAGCAGTAGTAGTAGTAGTAGTAGCAGCAGCAGGAGTAGTAGTAGTAGTAGTAGTGGTAGTAATATTTGTCGCTGTAGCCGTAGCCACAGTAATGGCGATTATATTCGGGCCGTCATCATCATCATCTTCTTCTTCATGCCTTCATGAAAATAATCATCGTCTTCATCGTCGCCCAAAACCCTAGACCCCATGCCCTAAACCCTCGTAGATCCTTTCCTTAAAGAACCACCCCTGAGGAACCCTTAAAGGAGCCCTAGAACCCTCGTCCATCAGCATCAGCTCAAAGCCATCTTCATCCTCGTCACCCTGACTATCATCGTCATGTAGAACTGCGAAAAGCCACCTAAAAGGTTCTGTTGTCGCCCCCTTTCTCCCTTCCAGGTAACTGTTGGGTTGAAATGAGGATTTAGGGTTCAGGATGTAGTGTAGGCCCGTATAGGAAAATCCCGAAACCCTCGTTCCTGGAGCATCTCCGCGCACTTTTGCACGCTCTCTGGGCTGGCTACGTCCACAATCGCCAGTTCCGGCCGCAAGCCTTTCGCCTGGACACGCTACTGAACGGCTTGAGGACTGATTGGATTCGGGCTCGGGAGCTTGGCGTTGTAGGGTTGCAGGTTCCGGAGTTGGGATTGTGGTTTGTAGTGGCTCGTAATATCCTTACTATCACTGGAGGTGCTACTACTACCACCACCACAGCTGCTGCTTCCACTGACACTACTGCTACTGCTGCTGCCACTGCTACTTTCTCTCGCTCCTGGCGGATGCGTCCGCCAGCTTTCAATCCCCTGGTGACTTGGTTTGCCGCTGCACGTCGCTTGTAGCCAAGAGCCTCTCTGCAGTGGGCTGTGGTAAGGCTCTTAAACGGAACAGGAAGACGGGGAAGTCCGTCTGTCCCAGATTTCTCACGAGCCCACTGCGATTTCTTGCGGACATGCTCGCTGTTCCATGCCGGCTTGCACGTGGCTTGCTGACCTTGCGTGCCTACAGGATCCGCAGATCCGCGCCGCCCAAGCAGAGCCAGGCTTTGGGTGTTCTTATACTTAAAATATATCAGGGTTCCGAAACCATAAAATTACTAAGTATTTATTAGGCGTTTATATTAATCCTTCGCCCCATGGATCGGCTCCTTAAGCGCTTGCCGCTGGCTCCAGAACCGTAACTGCAGCAAACCTTTGCGCTCTTAAAAACAATAGGTCCAAAGGAAACCCCAAAGTTTACGATAGATCCCTATTATGGTAACTTAAACAAAACTTAAAACTTCTTAACAAGAACCGAGATAAAGGATTCTATTAGGGTTCTAGCTGGAAGGAGCTTCCCGTTAGTCTCGCATGGAAGCTGAAAGACAACTTTTCGTCCGCAGCATTCAACTTACGGATCTCAAAGAGCGGCTACCCCATTCGGGGTGACGCCTAAACAAAACGAGGCTAATTTCTGCAATGCGCCATCCCAGGTTTTGCTGACACCTTGCGAGTCTATTCAGAGAATCCTGGCGGCAGAAGGGAAAACACACAATGACTGCAGTCGCTAGAACGAGAAACCAATCTGGCAGGTCAGCCGCACTTCACGTCTCAAGGCATGAAAAAGGCGTAGACAGGGAAACCAAGGTTGTCTAAGACTTGCCGCTCCCAGCGGCACCCCACCTTTCACGTTCGGGGGCTCAAAGTTTCGGGTGAGGGCTTCCAGCATTGTGTGCCTTGTAAAAAAAGAAAATGTACATATACATATATATATATACACACACAGTACACACACAATTGATAAAGGCAACCTCTCGAAAGGACCAAGGAACCCCAAGCGGCTGCTTCGTGCGCTCGTGCACTGGTGCTCTGCGCTCGAAGGTGCTATAGTCGATCTTGATCTTGCCTTCGCCCCAGCCTTCTGGTTTCCCGTTCTTGAACACTTCCCTCAGGCACGGCATGGCGTGTCGGGTTTCAAGCTCGCGGGCCGGGTCGACTGCTTTTGGGGATTTGGGCTCACAGACATCAGACAAGCACACGGCACAGGGACCCAAGTTATGAACTGCAACCATTCCAGCTCGAGGCTCCTGGGTAAATTGAAAGACTTTGCATCTGCATCTGACAGCTCGGAGGAACCCGCGCCATAGGTCCGGACCCAGTCCTGAGTGGGAATGCTCTCCGAACGTGCCTGCCAGTGCTGGCTCTCAGGCTCGACGAAGCCTACAGAAACCATTGAACAAGTCTCTCTGTCTCTGTCCAAGAGTCTGAATAATAGATATTCGATGTCGCGCAGCATATGACAGCCCCTTTTTCGTGCTGCCTCCTCACCTCTCGGATCCAGTGGCAGCACCAGCCTTCAGAATCTGTCTGAGACTTGCTGCTGATGATGGGCCACCACGAAGCTAATTACCCAACACTCGTCAACATGTCTGTTTCCAAGACAAGTCACACTTGTACCGTCTACCCACCTGCGGCGAAATGCCGTTGCTTCTTGACTCCACCAGCGATTTCCACTTGGCGTCTTGGAGTCCCTTGCTGGGGACTGGGATGTCATCGCGGCCGCATTCACGGCTTGTATGCACCCATTTGCCGTCGTTTGCCGAAGGTCCGAAGACATGCTCTTCTCCAAACCAAACAGTCGCCGTGCCTGGGTGCATCGATTGGAGATATACTTACCTTTTGGTTAGTAGGGAATGGAGGATTGGGGTACAATTATACGTACTATTACTACCATTCTTCCATTCCCTGCTAACCAAAGGTAAGTATAGGCATGCACAACGATATGGCGCAATGCTCGACTGCACTTGGCCTTGCCACGTCCGTGCCATGTGAGATGAAACAGTTCTCGGCTAAGCAAAGACATCCCAGGATATTTCACGCAATGCGGCAACCCATCTCCAGTTTTGAAGCTGAGGATGCAACAACCTGAACTACTAAATCAATACACTTCACGGCCTGCCGACAAATGCTGGTAAAACTGCATAATTGTATTCACCAATAACTCAGCATGTCAAGACACGTTGAAATGAAGCAATAGAGTCAATAGAATTATTTTCCGTTTCAACAGAGTACTTGGCTTGCTTCACGAGAGCTCGTTGCAATCAGGAAATTTGCCTTTCAGCTATACAACGAAGATCCCCTGAGTTAAACAGAATATAGATAATATAGAACTTGCCTGATAAGTCATGTTACAAGCAGTATAGTAAATCATGGCATGCATCAGTATGGCAGGATTACAACTTCTATCAGCAGGTTACCACAAAACATCTAAAACACAAAAGAATGTTACTACCACCGCCGCCACCACCACCACCAGCAGCACCAGCACCAGCACCACATGCTTGACCAATCACTAAATAGAGCCGGCAATCAGAGAAGGCGACCACGGCGCTGCCCACTGCAGCTCCCATGCAGCCGAGAGGCTTCCCTTATCCTGCCTAAGCTTCTTCATGACCTCGTCATAGGCCTTGCCCCCCGGGACAGACGCTCCCGTCGTGTGGAACGCCCCTATCATGCCAGACCAAACGTCAGAGTTGTCGTAGTAGGTGAAGACGAGGCCATCACCGGCCGCCTCCTTGCACCGGGCCACGAAGGCGGCATCTTCAGAGAGCTCCTTGGAGGCGAGTTTAACTAGCCACCAGGCTTTGGTCTCCTTCACGGCTTTCAGGATGAACTCCCTGTCCTTTACTGAACTTAGAACCCTAGCAAAAATTACAATTTTAGCTGTTTCTTAGGGATTATCATAACCAAGAATTAAAAATTATTTCTAAGTACCCCTAAGTGTCTCCCTTGAGATTTTCGGTAGCAGAAAACAGGGCACTGGGATCCTTTCGCACCTTGGCCAGGACCTCCTCCTTCTCCGCCGAACTTGCGCCACTCCCCATGGCCAGGACTATTTTGCTAGACCCTACTTGGAGGGGCAGGGGAGTTAGTAAGTAGGTTCAAAGTAGGGTTATAATTTGGGTAATTCCATTTAGGGTACTTATAACTCTACTTATAACCTACGTACTAAGTCCCCTGCCCCTCCAAGTAGTGGACAAGGCACGCCAGAGTTGCAAGCCGAAAAGGGTTAAGCAAAGGCCTGGCAGCCTGAACTTGGGAGCACAGCTTTACCAGCGAAGTTGCTCCTGCTCCTGCTACTGCTACGACGGGGCGACGACGGGGCGACGACGGGGCGACGACGAGGCGACGACGACACTGCTGAGTTCGTGCCCGAAACGCAATTCACAGATCTAAAATAGTGCAACATGCCCTAAACTTCTTCTTCATCCCTATACAACCCCATTAGAGCACACTGCGACCCTATAAAGGCCCAGAACACCTTCACACCCCATCAGACTCGCATTTAACTTCCGCCAAACATGCACTAAACCCCCTAAACCCTAAACCCCAAAACCCCTAAACCCCTAACCCCTAAACCCTACACCCTCAACCGTTTGCTCCACTCATTGCGCCTTCAGCTCCTCCACAGCGCCCTGTCCTCGCTCTTGGCTGCGGGCCCCGAGATACCTTAAGGGCTCCGGGATACTTGGGGTCCTGATAAAAAGGATCCTACTATTTAAGGTGCTATATTAGGGCCCCCTTAATTTCGGAAGGGGTTCCTTTTTAGGGATTCCTTGAAGGGATCCTTGAAGGGTTTAGGGTTTAGGGTCGTTTAGGATCGGTCCAGTGCTCCAAGGGCTGCTGTTCTACTTTTTGGGCTGGGATGTGGCCGTCTTCGAACCCTCCATGCTCGCTGGAGGCCAAGGCTTTTTGCTGGCTTAGGGCTTAGGATAGCTAAATCCATGGAGGCAACTTGAACAACCCTAGTATCTGGATGATACCACCACACAACCAGTGTGAGGGTAAGAACGGTACTGCCAACGCAGCTCGTCGTCATCGCCGCACGCTCTAATGGCTTCAGGCTTTGGGTTGACTCACACCAAGGCACACAGTAGCGGAGGGCTCAGCAGCAGAGCACAGCGCCTCTCCATGGTCCAACAAGTCATGGCTTAAGCCTTCAGAGCCCAGGGTGGAGAGGCTTTGCATTTTAACTTGAACGCTGGGGAACTCAAGGCCTTAAGCTCGCATAGCTACCTACTTGCCAAGCCTGAAGGAAGTACTTGGAGGATCTTGGGACTTAGAAAGTATGGTTATAAGTAGCCGAATTGGGGTTGTAAGTAATGAGAAGTATAGTTGCCCCAATAACAACCCTAGTTACTAAGTCCCACGGACCTCCAAGTAGTAAGGGTGTAGTCTTCGGGTCTCGGATTACTTTGAGCACTTTAGGAACCGCTGACATGCAATGCTTCACAATCTCGCAATTCAGGGGCCTTCATAGTTAGAGTGGTGTCTTGGAGCGGTCTGTACCATAGTTTGAATTAATAACCCAAACCCCCAAAAGCCTAAACAACGAAACTCTATAGCCCCAAACTCCAAAACCCAAACACGAAACCCCGTAGCCCCACACCCAAACCCCTAAACCCTAAACCCAAAACCCCCAAACCCCTAAACCCTAAACCCCAAGTCCTAAACCCTAAACCCCTAAACCCTAAACCCCTAAACCCAAATCCTTAAACCCCTAATCCCTAAACCCCAAACCCTAAACCCCTAAACCCTAATCCCTAAATCCTCAAGAAAATGATAAATAGAAATTGCTTGTCACTGCTGGCGTCGAACCCTCTAAACCGTCATTTCCAAGCCCACCGCAACACCCAGCCCAGCCAGTTCACACAGAATACACACTCGACAAGAAAAACATCACAAATATTCGTTCATACACAAGAGTGACGTGTTGCTCACTCCTTTTGGCTCTCTGGGTCTACAGTTTTTGAAGGACGACTCAGCCCCTGCAGTAGCCCCAGTATTGCCTTGACAGATCCGCCCCTGAAGTACCCCAATCAATGCTGGAGCAGATCGGCTCCTGTAGGAGCCATTTTCGTCTCACAACAAGTACTCTTGCATCCACTTAACATGTAGCGTTCGACGCATCAATATGCAAAATAGCTCCAAGATGCCAGCTTGCAGAAGCTTTCTGGCTGTGAGCAAGCTGCCAGCGACGAGGTTCAGGGACACGTTTACCATCGTAGGCTTGTGTCTGTAAGCAACTTACCAGCGACTAGGTTTGGGGATGTGGTTACGTTACCATCGCAAGCTTGTGGCTGTTAGCAACTTGAAGCAGCGACGAGGTTCGGGGACACGATTACGTTGCCATCCCAAGCTGGTGGCTGTGAGCAACTCCAAGCAGCGACGAGGTTCGGGGACACGATTACGTTACCATCGATAACTTGTGGCTGTTGGCAACTTGAAGCAGCGACGAGGTTCGGGGACAGGATTACGTTACCATCGCAAGCTGGTGGATGTGAGGAACTTACCAGCGACGAGGTTTGGGGACACGATTACGTTACCATCACAAGCTGGTGGCTGTGAGCAAGTTACAAGAGACGAGGTTCGGGGACACGACTACGTTACAATCGCAAGCTTGTGTCTGTAAGCAACTTACCAGCGATTGGGTTTGGGGACACGATTACGTTACCATCACAAGCTGGTGGCTGTGAGCAACTCCGACTCCAAGCAGCGACAAGGTTCGGGGACACGATTACGTTACCATCGCAAGCTGGTGGCTGTGAGCAACTCCAAGCAGCGACGAAGTTCGGGGACACGATTACGTTACCGTCGCAAGCTGGCGGCTGTGAGGAACTTACCAGCGACAAGGTTTGGGGACACGATTACGTTACCATCGCAAGCTTATGGCTGTGCGCAAGCTACCAGCGACGAGGTTCGGGGACACGATTACGTTACCGTCGTAAGATTATATCTGTAAGCAACATACCAGTGACTAGGTTCGGGGACACGATTACGTTACCATCGCAAGCTTGTGGCAGGTAGCAGCTTGAAGCAGCGACGAGGTTCGGGGGACACGATTGCGCTACCCTCGCAATCGCGCACGGCTCACAACTGCAACGTTTGTGTTTTTGCAAACAAGGCTTACATGTGCAGGAAAGTTTCTTTGCATCTTGGTCATACGTCAGCTTCCTGCGTCATCACCGCCATCGTTCCGCACCAAAAGCAGAAGCGCTGGAACATAACAGACATGGATAGGCTGCACTAGCAGGTTCCAGTCGCAAAAGTCCTTGGTGCAGAGGCCCCAGCAGACTCAAACCCTAGCCCAGCCCCGAGACCCTGACCCCCCCCCACCCGAATTCAGAATGTGGTTCCAAAGAGGAAACTTTCGCTCGAAGTTCGTTCACAATGTATTGGCACCCAAACCCCGTGGGATCCCTTCTCGTTGTGTCGGGGTTTTCCTGTTTAAGTTTCGACGGTGTGCTGCCACATTGCTGCAAGCGATGGAGTTGTGGTTTATTCTTAAGCGGTCAAGCATGCTGCTTCCGGCGCACCACTAGCACTGTTAGCGTATAACTTCGTCCATGGCTGCACTACCTGGGGTCTTCTTGCTAGGCATTACAACGGCAGCACAACCGAACTCAGGTTATAACGCGAAAGTGATGTTTGACTTCACCCGACTCCCAATCCTGTTCAAAACGTCCAGAACTTGTCTGCCGATAAGTAGATCGTCTCGTTTGAACCTTGGCAGCGAACATGGGCTATATGTGGGGTCGTTGCAGCATGTGCGCTGAATGTGACGCTGAGACCTCAACTTGTCTTGCCCCTCAGCCGTTTTCGGGGCCTTGTTCGATCCAGTCATGCTCGTAGTATTGATTGTGTCGTACAGCAGCAGTGCGAATCCGAGCTAACTACGGTTGCATGACCAGTGTGAACCGTTCTTCTCTGTCACAAACATCGCGGAGTCGTAGGCCGTGAGTATCGAAGATGTTATTGTCCTCGTACAGAAGCATAGGCGTTCCTGCGAGACCCAACTGCTCGCAGATGGCTTGCAGCAGCACGGAGAAAGAAGTCAGCTTGTGCACGCGGAAGTCGTGCGCCACTCCTCTCAGGAGGCGGATCTTAAGATCGACATAGTCAGCATCCTCCACTCGTTTCCTTAACTGTTGGCGGCCGAGTCAGCTCTGTCTCTGCATGGGTTGTTAGTAAGGCACCGGACAAAAGTTCGTGGATCTCGGTTAGGGCTTGGGAATCGCTAGGGACCGTTAAGGTTTAATCATACCAACATAATTACTATTCTATGATTTTTTATTCAGTATTCACGAAAATCAGACTCCAAAAAGCTCAAAGTTTCAGGTTTCGAGTGTATCGATGCCTGTGGTATCAGGGACGGAAAAGCTTTTGGTGTACCAAAGTGAAAACGTTCGGGTTTTTTTTTTTTAAGCGCCTCTTTTCCGACTCGCTGTTCGGTCGCCAGAAATCCCTGAGGGGGAAGGCAAGGTTAGCCGCTTACAGGCTTTCCAGCACACGTCCCTGGGAGGCAATCACAATCCACTCTCACTCCTGTCCCGCTTGGTTCTGAGTCTCGGTTTCTTCGCTTTCCCGGGGCCTCTTCATTCCACAACCCTGATTCCGTGCTGCATCCACATCCATCACTTCCTGGCTCGACTGCACAACCCCTGCATCTGTGTCCTCCTCCTTTTGGGCAAGGAACACTGTGTACATCTGTTCCCCAACCTGTGCCAGTATACCATCGTCCGTAATCAACCCCTGTTTCCACTGTCGATAGAGCAGCCCATAGTCCTGTGTGCCCGAATGTCTCTCACGAGTTCGATGGGCACCTCCAGTTGAAGATCTTCTGGACTGCCCTCGTACCGCTGAGCTTCAGCGGCAGTCCACTCCTTCCAGGAGACCTGCTTACGCTGAATGCCGAACAGGCCCTGCGCGGCTCTGTGCTCAAAGTTCTCGAAACGAGAAACCATGTTCACGAGAACTGGCTGTTTGCGGCCTTCACGGCATTGCAAGCTCGTCTGCCAGAAGTAGGCTTCGAAACAACTGCTTG